TCTGCCTGTCTTCAAGGCGCGTTACGTGGCTCGTGGCTTCAGTCAGCGGCAGGAAGTTGACTACTTTCAGACCTTCTCCCCCACCCCGAAGATGACCACTCTTCGGGTACTGCTGCACGTTGCTGCTCACCATGACTACGAGCTGCACTCTCTCGACTTCAGCACAGCTTTCTTGCAGGGCAGCCTGCACGAGGAGATCTGGCTGCGCCGCCCACCTGGCTTCACTGGGTCGTTCCCTCCTGGTACCCAGTGGAGTCTCCGGCGTCCAGTCTACGGTCTCCGCCAGGCGCCACGTGAGTGGCACGACACACTGAGGACTACACTGGCGGCACTTGGGTTTGCTCCTTCTACTGCCGACCCGTCGCTGTTTCTGCGCACCGACACCTCTCTGCCGCCGTTCTACATCCTCGTGTACGTCGACGACTTGGTCTTTGCCACAGCTGACACTGCTGGACTCGCCTACGTGAAGTCCGAGCTGCAGAAGAGACACACGTGCACTGACCTGGGTGAACTGCGCAGCTACCTTGGCTTGCAGATCACCCGGGACAGAGCACGCCGCACCATTACCCTGACTCAGTCACACATGGTGCAGCAGGTCCTTCAGCGCTTCGGCTTCACGTACTCCTCGCCTCAGGCCACTCCTCTGCCTACTCGCCACTCACTCTCAGCTCTGCCTTCGGATGAGTCCGTAGAGTCGAGTGGTCTGTATGCAGAGCTTGTTGGCTACCTCATGTACCTGATGACCTGCACACGACCTGACCTTGCATACCCTCTTAGCATTCTCGCACGCTATGTTGCTCCTGGGAGACACCGACCAGAGCACATGGCTGCAGCGAAGAGGGTATTGCGCTACTTGTGCAGTACGTCGGGCATGGGGCTAGTGCTTGGAGGGCGCAGTCCAGTGGTCCTCACTGGGCACGCGGACGCTTCTTGGGCTGACGACCAGTCTACGCAGCGGTCGTCACAGGGTTACACCTTCAGCCTTGGTTCCGGCTCTGTTTCGTGGCGAGCTACCCGCTCGTCTTCTGTTCTCGGCTCCAGTTGTGAGGCTGAGATCTACGCCGGGGCTATGGCTGCTCAGGAGCTTCGCTGGCTCACCTACCTGCTGACCGACCTTGGAGAGCCGCCTCGTTCTCGTCTAGTCCTGTACGTAGACAACAAGGCCATGCTGGCCTTGTGTCGAGAGCAGCGACTGGAGCACAAAACAAAGCACATTGCTCTCCGCTACTTTCTTGCTCGTGAGCTACAGCAGCGTGGACAGTTGCGACTTGCGTACGTGGCCTCTGAGGCCAACACTGCTGATGTCTTCACCAAGGCACTTGCGCCTTGTGATCATCAGCGTTGCTGCACGCAGCTGGGTCTTGTGCCTGTCTTGCCTCACTTGCTCATTTCTTGATCTTACTTGTACCTTGACCTATATATACTCTTGTATATCTCTATATATGATCTTGCATGTGAACTGGCCTTGTGGTCCTTGAATTTGTGCTCGGAATGTGTGGTGACTTTGTGATCCACCCTGAGCTTTGGTTTGCTTTGCTTGACTGGTCTTGTGACCCCTTGTTCTCCCCTACTTTGCCTATGGGGGTGTGTCAGAACATTATAGCTAACTTATTTGTGTAGGCTATAGTGGGGTATCCCATAGGGGGTACAACCCAACTAGGGTTTCCTATTTGTACCCACTTCGTTCATAGTCATTCATTCTCGTTCTAACTTTCTCAGTCGCGTGCTCTCCACTGGGCTTGCCGTCCACGCTGGCCTCCTCCTGTCCGACGGCCCCTCTCCAGTCCGTTCCGCCTCAAATAGGCGCCTCCCGGTTTCCACTCTCTTGGCTATCTCGTAGGCGACACGCAGCGTTGCTTCTGCCCCCATCTCGAAGATCTTGATTTGCACGTCTCGCTGTAGTTCGTAATTCAGACCGTTCAGGAACTTGCTGACGAGTCGTCCTTGGTCCACGCAATTCATATCCTCTCCCAGTTCTACCAGTCGTCCGTAATACGCCAGCAGAGACTCCCCTGTTCTCCGTTTGTAGTTACAGAACTCCATCACTCGCTCAGGCGTTTGCAGCAGGAACTGATCTCGCAGCATCTCCAGAAATCGTTTCGTGGGATCCCTCTCTCCCGGCTTGCCTTGCTCTGCCCAATCCAGCAACTCCCGTCGGCAGATTTGATAGTAGGTCTCCGCCTCTCCGGTCAGAGTGTTAGCGAGGCCCCTGAAGAACTCATCCGCCGCCAGCCGATCTCGTTCCCACCGCGCCCGTAAGTTTTCCAGCTGCATCAAGTAGTTCTTCAGCGACGGTCCCCGCCTCATCTCTCCTGAGAACCGCCCCGGTACTTCCACCTTAGGCAGCATCGTGTATCGCCAGCGCGAAGTTGCCGCCTCCTCCTCGAATCCTTGCCATGATGCACTCCGCTGGTACGGCCTGTCGCTGCTCCTCCTTCCTTCCATTACCGCCGCTTCTCCCGCGGGGACCGGCTGCTCTGAGCCTGCGATCCCTTCACTCTTCTCCAACTCGCGCGTCCTCTCGCGCTGCCCGTCAGAGCCCGTGGCTCCACTTTCTTTTTCTGTCTCGGCCAGGGCTAATTTTATCAGGGTAAATCACCCTGATACCCTGATAATCAGGGTGGTTTTTGGCTGTCACACTGATGCCTTAGGGTAATTTTTTCGTGAGCTTGTATTTTCCTGATAGGCCAGGGTTTACGTTTGAGGTACACTGACGGCCCAGGGTTACCGATCTTCGTAATGAGTTTTACCCTGAATCGAGTACATACCCTCCCCGAGCCGCCCCACCCCCCGCCCCCTCTCTACCCACCCCCCCTTTCCCGTATCGAGGTTCTCGCATGCCAACTGTCGAAACTGAAATTTGCCAAAGGCAACATCTCTGAGCTGGCACGAGGGGGGCCTCCATTGGCCAGAAATACATTTTCGTTATTGCCTGCCAACCATAATATCAATTCACCAGGGTTTGCAAAACTGGTACACTGATCCTACAGGGTATAATTTTCAAAAACTAGGAAAACCCTGGTGGATCAGGGTTTGAACAAGGTGTCACACTGATAATCAGGTTTTTGGACTTGTGCAACACTGATCACAAGGGTTGCTGGAAACAAAAAATTAGCCCTGGTCTCGGCTCCGGTTGCGCCTTGCGCACTCGCTCCGACACCACTTCCGGGCTTCCCCTTTCCTTCGTTGTCCATCCTTGTCGTCTCCGCCACCTGATCCTTCGCAGCGAAATCTAACCCGGATCTAGTGGGCATGCCCTGACTCCTGATTGCTTGTATGTGATAAGCTCGGAGCTCCTTCACACACCACCTCTTAGCTAGACATCTATTCTACGGCATGCTTGCTTGTTATGTCTCCCTGTCAACACCGTTGGCTCACATTTACAGCAACGAATCGTGTAAATTGGAAAACATACAAGCAATAGCGATTGCTCCCAGAGTTCCACCTAATCTACCAGCTCTGCCGCCGCCGCACATCAACTCTACCCTGCTTCTCCTAATCTGCTCTGTAGAGGTTGAACCCCTTTCGAGCAGACTTGCAGCCTGGCTGTTTCTTGCCCTCCTTCCCCAACCCCTCCTACTTGCCTCCAGCTGCCCTCATCCTGTTCCAGCTGACTCCCTGGAGCAACCTGCACACACGGGAAACAAACACGCATGCATTCGGACACACATCCCCCACCGGCGCTGCTGTTGCCATCCAAGCTGCACCTGCCTTGTTCCGCTGCCGATCCTTGGTGCCTCGCCTCGTTCCACGTCAGTCCCACCCTGCTTCACACCAATGCAAACCTTCCGCCCCTTCGGTTCGGCAACGGTCCTCTCCTTCTGCCTCGCAATGTCCCCCTTGACCCTTCACCTCCCGTCCGCGCTCCATCTCACTTCGCTATGTACAATGTATACAGTATGTACACCACCCTTCCGCCTCGCCTTACCCTTCACCTATGATGCGAAAGACGCTCAGAGGACGCTGCGTCCTGCGTCTGGACGCAGCGTCTGGACGCTAGGACGCAAGACGCGCGTCCAGACGCAGGACGCAGATCGAAATTTTTTCGGGCTGCCCCGATTTTTTTTTTTTTTCCAGATTACGAATTTCAATCTCGCGATTTCGACGCGACTGTCGAAATCGCGAAATTTTGACCCCCCATTGCCCAATTCGACATTGAAAAACAGTCCCCCCCCAACATTTCATAACCCCCCATGCAACAATTGAATTCCAAATACCTCTCAACCACTTCACAACTAGAAAACCCAACCTAGGTGCCTACCACCAAGCCCATTTAGCAATCCAACCAAGTCATTTCTCATTTCACCCACCCAACCAATTCTCTTTCGAAAACCCTAGAGGTTTTAGCCTACAAGCATAGCTTAGCTCCATTATGGCTTCCTCAAGCAACCCTACGTCATCTAACGCATCTAGGGATGTTGGGGCCAAGTTTGCCTTGAAAGTGTGGAACGTTCCCCCCCCCCTCCTCATCCCATGCCCTATAACAAGTTTTTTTGCCTGCCCGGGGGTTTTTTTTGCCTGCCCGGGACTGCGTCTTTTGGTGCGTCTTTCTGGTCCTGGTGAAGCGTCCTGCGTCCGGACGCATGCGTCTGGACGCATGCGTCCAGGACGCAGGACGCGTCTTTCGCATCATAGCCCTTCACATTCACAGAAATGTGAGTGTTTAAGAGAACACAAATGTAAAATTTTCACGACTACCAAGAGCGATGATAAAAGAGAAAGAGAAAACGGCAAGAGCAGGGGATGGGATCATGGGAGAGCAGGCGGGGGGCACCTTGAAGAGGTCCATGGGTCGGTTCTCCACCACCTCCGCTGCTGCCTGCCCCTCCCCCTCCCCCTCCCACACTCCCGCACTTTCCTCTCTCCCCCGTCCTGTATCATCCTCTCCTCCCCCGATCGCTTCCCTCATGTGTCCCTCCTCGTGTCCTTCCATCCATCCATCACGGCCAGGAGGCATGGCAGGCGCAGCAGGAGGAGGCGCAGGGAGGGAGAGGAGAGGCGAGGGGGCAGCAGTGGGGGCGGGCGTGGTGGAGGGGAGGGTTTGGGGGAAGGAGGTGAGGGTGTCGAGCTGAGAGGGGCGGTGGAGATGGGGGGGAGGGGCCTGTTGTGGAGGGACCACGGCAAAGGAGAAGAGAAAGGAGAGAGAAGAAAGCCGTGTGAAAAGGTGAACAAGTGGATCACTGTGCTGTGACCGGGTTGACTGCAGAGAATCGAACGGGTGTGCGGCACAGAACTGCAGCGTGCAAGCAGAGTGAACCACTTGGGCGGCAGGCATGGCAGTGGGACCAGCCGGGCAGAATACACGGGGGGAGGAAGAAGGGGAGTGGACGTGTGGGAAGCAGCAGGAAGCAGCAGGGAAATCTGGTGGCAGGCAAGCAGAGACGTGCTAGCCGACCAGTGCGTGCATCAAGGAAGGAACTGGTTGCCACCAAACGACAACACACGGCTTCCGACAACGTCACCTGTCTGTGGGCTGCCTCACAGGCTTAGTTGGAAGATTTCTGCAACATCAGTGTCGCAGCCTTTTTTCCCTCTCTGTTTCCCGGTCAGCCCGTACGCACTACGCATTCACATGATACACAACTTTCAATGAGGTCACATGTACTATGCAAACATATGAGATGCCCAACTGAGCCCACAGGGTGGCACGCCCATCTCACCTTGCCCGCATACGGGTCGGGCAGGTTGAAGCGCTTGCACAGCAGAGGCAGCGGCCTCCATGCCTCCTCCCTCCGCCGAGCCACCACCACTGCTGCCGCCCCTGCCAGCGCTGTGTCTGCCCCGGGTGCAGCAGGCAGCGCCGCCTTCTCCGTGCTCATGCCGCCCTTGCCCGCCCGGTCCTCGTGCCCACTGCTGTGGAAGCGTGCCGCCATCATTGCTGCCAGCTCAGCCGCCGCCCCGTGCTGCTGGAAGGCCGGCACAGTGGGGGCGGGGGGAGCAGCAGGAGATGCGGCAGAAGTAAAGGCAGAAGCTGCAGCAGCAGGAGAGGCGGTTGAGGTGGGTGTGGGGTGCGCTGATAGACGTGGAGCAGGGGCAGGCTGGGAGGAAGGCAGCGGCCGCTCGCCCAGCAGCGCGCCCCGCGCATCAGGCCCTAGGTGCTCCCCCCCACTGCTCCCCACCGCCTTGCCCGCTGCTGCCCTGCCCTGGGCGGCCCTCTGCCTCTCCGCCAGCTCCCACACGCGCCGCCGGTAGTACGCACTGCCCTCCCCGCCCACCAGGAACGCCAGCCGCGCACTGCCCTCTCCTCCCCCTTCCTCCCGCGCACACGGGCGCTGACATGGCGGAGGGGGTTGGGGAGGAGGGGAAGACGTGGTGGGGGGTGAAGGAGGAGGGCACGTGGGGGGGGGGGGGTACCTGGAGGGTGGGTGGGTGGGGGGGTGGGAGGGAGGGTGGGAGGGAGGACAGCAGCACGTGTGTGAAAAGGCGTGGTTGGTTGACAGTGAAGCAGTGTGGGTGGAAGTGAAGCAGTGGTTGGTTGACAGTGAAGCAGTGTGGGTGGAAGTGAACGGGGACTTGCAGCTAAGGAAAGAAGCAGTGCGGTGGGCAGGGAGCAAGGCTCGTGGTGGGCAGGGAGCAAGGCTCGTGGTGGGCAGGGAGCAAGGCTCGTGGTGGGCAGGAAGGCATGTGGCAGAGGCAACAGAAGCAACAGCACACACATTGGGCTGCAGTGAGTGTGGGTGAGGCAAGGGGGGGGCAGGCAGCAGTACCATTTGCATTCCTCCAGCGCCACGCGCCCCTCACAGAAGCCCCGCAGCACAGCGGCGCCGCTCCCACGCCCCACCCCTCCCATCCACGCCATGCCCTGCTGCGCCCCTCCCTGCGCCCCCTGCTGCCCCCCCTGCTGCCCGCGCCTGCCTGCGGCCATGAAACCCCCGCCAGCATGCACGCCTCGCCCCTCCCCCTCCTCGCCCTCGTGGCTCGCCACCTCGTGCAGCTCGCCCGCCGGTATCTCTGGAGGGCGCACAGGGGGAGAGGGCGCACGGGGGGAGAGGGCGCACGGGGGGAGAGGGCGCACGGGGGGAGAGGGCGCACGGGGGGGGAGGGCGCACGGGGAGGGAGGGCGTACGGGGGGAGAGGGCAAGGGGGTGAGCGCAGTGCGCATGAAGAACAGGGCAGAGTGAAGGAGGAAAGCAAGAAGGAGTGCTCACATGGTAACGTGCCACCATGGTAACGTGCCACCATGGTAACGTGCCACCACATGCAGTCAACCTTTTCTTTGCACAACAACACACTCTCGCTCCTCACCCACCACCACCGAACTCCACCGCACAGCATCTCACCGGAGTCGTAGATATCCTCATCCTCAGCCCCAGCCTCCTCCAGAGCCCCGATGCCAAACCCCCCCGCCACCCGCCCACTGCCCGCCGCAAACAGTGACTGCCTGCCACCACCCGCCCTGCGCCGCCCACCCAGGCCCCTCTCTCCCCCCCTGCATGCACCTCCACCCAGACCCCTCTCTCCCCCCCTCTCCCCTCCCTCCCTCGCCCCCCCTGCCGTCCTTTGCCTGTGCTCTGCTCCCACTCCCCAGAGAACAGAGAGGCGGGCGAGGCAGGGAGGGGGAAGGCGGGAAGGCGGGAAGCAGGGACGAGGGAGTTGTAGTGAGCAATGAGAGTGGAACGGGGAGGAGAAAGAGCTACAGTGGTCCTTGCAAGCATGGCAGACAGTATTACCAAGGGGACATTCCACATATGGCAGTCATTGCAAGTATGCCAGTCACCACCACTCTGCACGCCTCACCACCCCTCTGCACGCCTCACCACCCCTCTGCACGCCTGACCTCGCACATCCTCAGCGCCCTGGAAAGCATCGAAGCCCACACCCCGGGTGTCCCGCTTGGGCGCCCTCAGCTGCGCCGCCACCGCCGCCTCTGCTGTCGCTGCTGCCGCCAACGGCCCCCCGTCCTTGCCGCCCCTTGCCCCCCTGCCCTTCCCCACAATCTCCCCTCGACCCCCCCATGCGTCCCCTTCCTCACCGTCCTCCTCCCCCTCTGCCTCCCCCTCCTCGTCTCCTCCCCCCGCCCCGCACCCTCTTCCTCCCGCTGCCAGCGCCAGCATTGCCCGCCTGCCCTCGCGCTGCACCTTCCTGGAAGCTGCCACCTCGTCCGGCCCCAGCCCCCTGCCCTCTCTCCACCCCATCCTGCGCAGCAGCGCCTTGCCTGGCTTGGGTGGTTGGGGAAGGGGGACGGGAGGAGCGGGGAAGGTTGGTGGAGGGGGGAATGTGAAGCGTGTTGGATTAAGGAGGGGGGTTGGAGAGGGGCGGGAAGTGGGAGAGGTGGAAGGAAAGTGGGGGGGGGAGGAGGTATGCATGTGCATGGGGCACTGAGGCAATGGGTTGAGACGTGCAGAGCAGAGGACAGGTTGGCTGGGGGACGTGGTACAAGTGGAGTGCACAGGCAGACAGGGAAGGGACAACGTTTCCACATTGCACTCCCAGCAGTCAGCAGCCAGTCCGACGGCAACAAGCCACCCCACCCATCCAATCCAACTGTCCCCTCCCCCTGCCTCCTCTGGCGCAGCCCCTCCCTCCCCCTGCCTCCGCCCTCCCTTCCCCCCTTGCCGCACCGATGGAGTCAGCAGCGGGCGCCAGCAGCTCTGCCACGGCCCCCCCGGGAATCACGGAGGGGCGCCGGTCCGCGGCGGGGGCGAGGTGGCGGGCGCGCTCAGCAGCGGTGAAGCCGAACGTGTCGAACGCGCTGTGAGCCGCCGCGGCGCTGCGCTGCGCGTCGTGGCGCTCGTCGGCGTCCATGAGCGCCTCCACGCGCTGCGGCTGCACCTCCGCGCGCTGCGAGCGCGACGAGCGGAACGATGCAGGCTGCCACCCTGGGTTGGATGGTGAGGGGTTGGCGGGCAGATAAACGCGGGGGGTTGGCGGGCAGATAAACGCGGGGGGTTGGCGGGCAGATAAACGTGGGGGGTTGGCGGGCAGATAAACGCGGGGGGTTGGCGGGCAGATAAACGCGGGGGGGGGGGGGGCGGGCAGATAAACGCGGGGGGTTGGCGGGCAGATAAACGCGGGGGGTTGGCGGGCAGATAAACGCGGGGGGTTGGGGGGCAGATAAACGCGGGGGGTTGGGATGAAGAGAGGGGGTTTGGGGGTGGAAGGGGAGAGCAGTGGGATGAGTGATGCTGCCGTCGCCCCCTCGGGCGTTGCGTCACCTCGCCCCTCGTGCCGACGAGCGGACCACTGAGGAAGCAGCGAGACGAGCAGGACAGCGGCAGCAAGGGGGACAGCAGGCGAGGGAACAGCAGACGAGGGAACAGCCGCATCGGCGCCTACTGGCGCGAGAATCCGAGAGAGAGTCCCAGCGCGCGAAAGGCGCACGCTCGCATGGCGGCAAGGCGTGGAATAACCTTCCCTGCACCCCTCCTTTTGCTTCCTCTCACCGGTTTTGGGCTCCAAGCCTATGGCAGGTGCCTCGTACCTTCCTTGGACCCCACGCTGTTGAAGTACCCCGCGGAAAAGCCCCCCGTGAACGCGCCGTGAAACCGCCGCCTGCCCTCATCGTCGCGCGCCTCCTGCTGCCACGGCGGCACCGCCTGCTTCGCGCGCCCCTCCGCCACCGCCAGGTGCAGCTTGCGGCCCCCCGCGCCCTCCGCGCGCTCCAACGCGCGCCCGAAGTACACGCAATCCTCGCCATTGTCGTCCATCGCTGCGTTCGCGATATAAAGGTATCTAGAAACGATGTTCAAGGTTTATCAATCTCCAGTGGATCCCAAGACATTAAAATCCCAAGGTTCTCCCTTCAGTGACAGCCAGCGACCATCCCAAGATAATGCGTTACGGGAGTCCCAAGGCACGAGAAAGCTGTTTCTGTACATTGGTGACAGCTCCAGTAATACTAATCCCAAGACACAACTATCATACAAAAGGCTACTTCAAGGCTCTCCTTTTATTATCAAGCAACCGTCTCGTATTAAGCTGCCATTGTCACTCTTCACGATGCCACCTAAAGGTCGTTCCTCCAAGGCCAATGCCAAGGCTGGCACCCGCAAGCAACCTTTCAGCGCACCTGCAACCCCAAGGATGACTACTGGCACTTCAGGCATTAAGGAAGCTGCTGAATCGTCGCCAGACGAAGCTGCTCATGTGAACCACCCGGAGTCTTCGTCAATGGCTGCTGCCAGGCTCTCCGCGCTGAAAGGCAAAGGAACAGGAGAAAACGCAGACAACAAGAATGGGTCATTTCGGGAGTCTGCAGTACCTGAGCCTCTGTCGCCAGAAGCTGAACTGGATATGGAATTTCCAGACGACCCTGAGGATGCGGAGGGTGGTGGATCTGGTTACCTTAGCGACGACTCCGATGAAGGAGCTGATCCTGTTATGGCTGGCCTTGTTGCTGCTCAAATTTGTTATACACTGACCCTGCTGATTCCAGATAAGTACATCGAAGAAGTCCCGCGAACTATGGACTCAGTCACTCCTCATCTGGTTCACTGGAGGAAGGAGTTGTCGGCTGATGTCCTCGCAACCACGAAGTTTCAGAAACTGCTACCGACTTATCTGTCGAAGGAGCGTTTCGGCCGCGTTCAGGTTACATTCATCAATGAGAAAGATGCTGCCTTTGTCTGGAAACGTGCGGTTGCTCATGACTGCGTTAACGGTACCCCTTTGAAGCTGACCTGGCAGTTTCCAGAAAATGCTGATTACCTTCGGGCTCGCTCCCTCCACCCGAAGGCTTTTGAACTTGTGCTGAAGGGAGTCCCGGCAGAGCTGACCCCGGAGCGTATTCGCAAGTTCCTGGTGATGGTGTGGTTGGTAAAGAGGGGGAGACCGCCGTTCAAAGAAGGCCACGGTTTTCATCGGGTACAAGATCCCGTCACTGGGATGGACACAGATAAGATCCGCGGGCTCCTGATTCAGCAAGAGAATGACCCATACCGTTGGCGACATTTCATCCTTGACCCTGCGATGAACGGGAAGAAGCTGCTGTTACATTTCCCCTCGCTCAACTGTGACTACTGCAACGGCCACCACATGACGCGCTACCACGACGACTACGTCAGTGACCTTCAGGCTAACATTGCGAAATGGAACCTCACGGTTAAACGCATCCATGAAGTCAACGGTACTCTAGACCTTCCAGCTTGCACAAACTGTCTCGCCTTTTTTTCCTCTCATGGTACTGATCTGTCTCCCCCCTCTCCTCCTCGCAGCGGCCTCACTGAAAGTCACAGATTCACTGAAGGCGATTCTGCTAGACCCGGCCATTGTTCTTACCTCGACTGGTGGATCCCGCGAAGACTGGGTTTGCGTCATCGATGCGTGCGGCAAGGCACACGGAAACAGCCTGGAGCTTGCGGCTGCGCACGTCGCTTCTGTCCGCCACACTTCCAACTTGACCACAGCGGGTGCAGCCACGCGCAACAGCAAGGGTGCGATCAATATTGCAGCTCTCAGGAAGGAGTTTCTCAAGTGACCTGTCATGGAATGGGAGACGGCTCAGCGGGGTGGGAGAATAAGCTGGAGGTTTGTCTTCAGAAGTATCATGAAGTGATAGTTAGTGCAGCTGTGGTTAGCGCCTCGATAGCAACTGCTGTGCTGTGTGGTATCATACTTGTAACACGCTTTCTGGACCGGTGGATGCCTGTGGAGACCAAACTGGGAGCAGCTGAACTGGTAACAACAACAACTACAACACCTAACCCGTGGATGCGAAGGGGTTCCCACCAGTGGTTTAATGAATAAACACCAAGAGCTCGCCATCATCGCGCTCAATGTGAACGGATTGGGGAGCGCGGTAAAAAGGGAGAATCTGCACGACTGGCTCAAAAAGTCCAAGGGCTTGATTGTAGTCACAGATACCAGACTGCAGGCGGATCATAACTTCTGGACTCAGATTGGTGCTGAATCAATGGCAATTGTGGGCCCAGGGGAGACAGCAGGAGGTGTAGCGGTCCTGAGTTTTAACAATGAAGTCACCTTCGGTGATGTTCAACGTCACGAGTCGGGAAGGCTGGTAGCGGTGCCGGCGAGCTGGCGGGAGCTGTCATGGACGCTGGTAGCAGCGTATTTCCCTGCGAAGGCAACATCCAGGGGGTGCTTCTTCAGAGACAGTTTGACCCCCTTTGTGAATTCGCTAACACAATCAGGACATCTTCTTCTCACATGTGACCTCAACATTACGGCAGACCCAGTTATGGACAGAACGTCGAAGCAAGGATCAGACGCGGAAAACAAAAGACTCTTAAACATATGCTTCAGGTGGGACTTGCGGGACACATTTCGGGCGTTATACCCCTCGCGACTGGAATATACGTTTCTGATGAAATCGACATTAACAAGCTCACGCATTGATTGCGCACTGGCGTCGGCTTCTCTGCTCCCACTGGTGGCGGATGCGTACCACACGGCAGCGCCGCAAGATGTAACGGACCACTGGTTCGGCATTACCACGGTGCTGACAGCGCAGACTGGTGCGGCATATGGCCCGGGGTTGTGGAAGATGCATGCAGACCAGACGAGACACCCAGGGGTACGCAACGCTATCCGACGAGTACTGCGTGATCAAGGTGGAACCGGTGGTGGTGACTTGCATTCCGTGCTTACGAGCCTGCAAGTCAGCCTCAGAGCTCATTCAAGGGAAGAAAGGAAAAGGATCGGGCGAACCATATCACATCTGGAGGATCGGGTAGCGGCGCTGAGACAGGAGTTCATGGTGGACTCAAGTCAAGGAGCGAAATATGATGAACTGACCAAATACGAGGCGCAACTCAAAGCGTATAGAGATAGCCAAAGGAGGAGGAAGCAGACGATGGCAGGAATCGGAGTGGAGATGTACGGTGAAATAGCGAACAAGTTTCTGACAAGGAGAATTGCAGCACGGAAGTCAAAGACAGTGATTAAAGAGATCGTGCACGGGGGCAAAAAGTACGAAGGAGAACGAGAAGTACTGACAGCAGCCTCGGAGTTCTTCACCAACCTCTTCGGTGCGGAACAGCTGGTACCGGATGTAGAGGAGTGGCAGATGGACCCCGGAAAAACCTTCGATGCGGAAGCTAAAAGGAGGCTCACAGAGCCATGGTCGGAGAAGGAAGTGAGACAGGCGATGCGGGAGCTCCCAAGGGGAAAGGCGCCGGGTGCAGACGGGCTGCCGAAGGAGCTGCTGGAAGACAACTGGGATTTGCTGGGGAAGTCGGTAATGGATTTCATGTGCGATTTTGATAGGACGGCGAAGCTGCCGAAGAGTGCATTGACGGCAGTGACGATCCTCCTGCACAAGAAGGGTGAACGGTCAGACCTGGGAAACTACAGACCAATCACTCTGCTCAGCGCGACGTACAAGATTGTGGCGAAGCTGCTCGCGAACAGGATGAAAGGAGTGCTATCGCAAGTCATCTCGGGGAACCAGTTCGGCTTCGTTCCAGGCAGGAGACTGGCGGATGCGGTCAGAACGGTTGCGGACACAATTGATGCGGCAATTACGGAGAAGGAAGATTGGTACTTACTATTAGTAGACTTCCAAAAGGCGTATGACTCGGTATCGAGACCGTTCCTGTTCCGCACCTTGGAGCGCATGGGTTTCCCGGAGACCTTCATACGATGGGCTAAGGGGCTGCACGATCAGGCGGCGACACAGCTGCTGGTCAACGGCTGGCTGGGAGAGCACGTAGAAGTGGAATCGGGGGTGCGGCAGGGATGCCCGCTGGCGCCTTACCTCTTCATCTGCGCAGCAGAGCCACTGTGTCAAGAAGCGAAAAGAAGGAAGCTGGGGCTGAGAAAGAGAGGAAAAGGAGGGCTGGCATACCTTGGGTATGCGGACGACACGACACTGCTGCTTAAAGGGAAAGAGCAGCTTAAGCAGGCGCAAAATTTGCTGGAGGATTTCAGCGTCAGGTCGGGCTTACATGTCAATAAGACGAAGTCAACGGTGATGCCGCTGGGGAGAAATAGAGCAAACCCGCCACCTGTTGACACCACATACACCTGGGCAGTAAGAGGAGAACCGGAGAGGCTACTGGGCATTTGGATCACTACAGACGGAAGAGCAGAACCTACCTGGGAAAAAGCGTTGATCCGAGTGAACATCATTCTGACCAACTGGGAGAAGCTGCATCTCACGACAACGGCGCGGGTGACGGTCCTTAATACTTATGTGATGCCGGTGCTGCTTTTCCAGGCGCAGGTGTACCAACCTCCGAAGCAGATTTGGAAGAGGATCCTAAAGCTATGCCGCAATTTCATATCAAAGGGCTGCGCTGATGAGGAAAGGCATTTCACCCTCTGGAGTGAAGTCCTGGCGCACATGGGAAGGAAAGAGGGAGGGTTAGGAGTAATCAGCCCGAAGGAACGAGTAAACAGCCAAGCACTATGGAACCTGGGGGCGGCGCTGTTGGAGGACAACCAGATGAAGCAGTGGCTACAGGAGAAAGCAGCGAACATGCCCCTGGGCTGGGCGACGCTGCTGGCCCACAAGGCAATCTTAGCGGAGTGGACAGTGGGAAGTGGGCGCTGGAAAGCACTCACACCGCTTATGTGGGACAAACAGCTGCCGGAGCTGCCGGAACCGGGGAATCGGTGGGAAATGGAGCGAGAGCACCTATGGTTCAGCTGCTGGATACATTATCAGGGAAACAGCCCGTTCGGCAGGCAGAAAGGATCGGAGTGCCTACGGGGGATGACAGTGGGCGACCTGCTGCAGGAAGATTTT